AAGATTGGCTGGGCAGAAATGAGGTGGGGTGTCTGGAAGGAATGCAGATCAGCCAGGTAAGGCTGCTACTACAAATCCCATGCCAGGGAGTCAGTCTTCCAAGTGCCGCATATTGGGTCAGCCTACCTGAGAGCCCCATACTATATAATCTCCACCTTTTGAGAGAGATACGGAGAAGTGAAGAGGACACTTGAAATAACTAAGGGGATGGAGAACTGATGTCTCAGGCATCACTGCCTCCCTGGGAACATCTGCCCAGACTCTGCTGGCCTGGTTCACAGCCAAAAGCCCTCACCAGCACGTAGAGCAGAATGTAGAGGTTGTGGGTCAGCCAGAAGCCCCGGAAGCTGCGGCGCCGGAAGTGGTGGGAGGCGAAGACGTACATGACGGTGAGAACCAGGAGCAGCATGACCCCGTGAGACCTGCAAATGAACATGGGGTGAAGGGCAGAGGTGCAGGGCCACACAGAGGGGGCTGTTCTGAGGCTGCCAGGGTCCCCTCTCCACTCCACAGCTCCAGGCAGGAGGCGGAAAGCCCAGCATCCTTCCCTCTTCCTCTCTCTGACACCACTGATCACAGGTACCTTTCATCTCAACAGACCCTACTTGTCCTTCGTGGACCTTGTCATGATTGTTATTTTTCAAGCACCTGTGTCATTACTTGTTTTACGTCTGTCACTTTCTTGACTCTCAGGTCCACAAGAACAGGGACCAGCCTAGGCTAGTTCACCACTGCACCTGAGTGCCTAGTGCAGGGCCTGGCACACCATGGGCCTTATGGACACGTGTGCTGAATGAATGAATGTACAGGGCAGCTGCTCTGAGCCCTCTGGGTGGAACTCTGGACATTGTAGGCCCTGCTGTCAGGGAGTCAAGGCTTGGCCAGCATTCCAGCTGCACTCTACCTGGCAGCCACAGCACCAAGCATGAGCGCTGGCACGGTTAGTGAGCGAGTGGGACCACACTGTCGCTGCTCATCACCAGAGCCCCCATGGATCTGGCCCAGACCTGGTGGGAGATCCCTCCTCTCAAAGGGGATCCCAGGCTAGGGGTGCCCAGGAGGGCAATACTGGAGCCATTCCAGATAACAGCCCCTCAAGTGATCAAGGAGCAGAGAGGCAGAAGTGAAGAAGATTAGAGCCCTGTAGTGTGGAAGAGCAGAGGTTAAGAAGGGATCTAGCCAAAGCCTGTAAAGTCCTGAATGGAGAGAAGGGCATAAACGCGGCCTGATCCAGTAAACCCCAGTGTGCAGGAGTTAGCAAGCACTCTCTGAAGTTCAAAGCCGATCGTTTTAGGATTTAAAGAAAAATAAAAAACAACACGCTGTGTTTCACAGAAAGGAGTGTAGAAGACGTGTTACCCCAAGGAGGGAACAGAGTGAAAATATAAATAGCTTCAAGAAGCATTTGAATAGATTCACAGCTAATAGCTCTAAAATGGGTGATTATGGGGAGTTAGGAATATGCCCCTAAACAGCTCTTGTCAAGACAGACTACAGAATGGAGAGGGAGAGGGGGAGGGGGTGTCCACCAGGCTCCACAAAGAGCCTGGTTCCTCCCCCATGCAGCTGGGGCATAGCATTCCTCAAAGTCACTGTCATGGTAGGTGTGTGTCGGGGGTGGAGGGGTGCACTCCCATTCCTCAGAGGGAGGGACTAGTTCAGAACTGGGGCAGAAGCCCAGCTAAGCTCCTGAGAGAAGGCCTGGAATGCAGAGTCTCCTACTGCCCAGGAGAGCGCTCAGGGCAAGGGCAGAGCCTGGCTCACCGTGAAGGCTATGAGGACTGAGTGAGAGCGACTGGGCTGCCTGTGGCAGATAGAACCCAGAACCTGGAACTCAGAGCCAGGCCCAGAAATTCACGGAGCAGCTGGAAGAACCACCAGTAACACTTCTGGGGGAACTCGGACCTGAGGGTTAGGGAAAGCAAGGACGGATCCTGTGAGGAGATGTCTGGGACCTCCAGAAAGGATCCTCCAAAGGAAGCACCCCACACCAGTCACCAGTCTCCCTTTCTGCGACTTGGGATTGGGTACTCAGGCTGGTCATTGTCCTGTAACTTGGAGGGTGACACACTCCTCTGAGCCAAGAGAATTTCTGCAAAGAAGTCCACCCCCTTCACCCCCAAGCCAGGCCACACACACGCACACACACACACACACACACACACATACATACTCACTCACCCGTTGTCATGGAAGAGGCCAGGTAAGAGGCAGGAAAGGATGCTGAGCGGGCTGATGGAGAAGAGGTAGACATTCACCGCACGGCCTGCACTGTGTTAAGGCTAAGGAAGACCAGACAGGGTGGGGTTGAGCCTGGGGCCAGCCCACTGGGGGTGCTCAACCCATTCAGCCCAAGCTCTAGGACTCCAGCCAGCCAGAGTTGGGGGCCTGAAAAAGTACCCTAGGGATCTGGACTTCTATTCTTTAATAAACCTCCTGTTCCTCCCCTGCCCCATATACACACCATCCATGAAAATAGCCACATGCGTCTGAAATTATACCATTAGAAGTTCATTCCTTTGGTTTCTCTCATAGAATTACGTGTTTTTGTTTGTTTGGCTCACCAAGAGGCTTGTGGGATCTTAGTTCCCCGACTAGGGATAGAACCCGGGGCCCTGGCAGTGAGAGCATCCAGTCCTAACCACTGGACCACCAGGGAATTCCTCAGAATTATGTTTTAAAACACAAAATCTGGGAGAGCTCACATATTATGTGCACTCATTCTGGAGTGTTAGTAACTTGTCAGTGGGAGGCTGGTAAGGTGGCCTTGAGAGCGTGGGGCAGTGAAGGGCTCCTGAGCTTACTTCACACCACTGCGGGGGCCACTGTCATCCTATGAAAGGACATCTAAGACTCACACTCAAATTATGTGCAGGTAGAGAGGAGGGGGCTCTCAGAGGAGGGGGAGCCTGCAGGGGGCGGGAGGACGTGGAGAGAATCCTTGGGATTCCCAGGCCCTGCCTGCGAGGACGATGACAGTGGAGGCAATGAGGCAATGGAAGTCCACGGCGGCGTTGAAGGGCACGTAGCGGTTGAGGAAGGTCTCTCGCAGGAAGGTGATGAGGTTGCGGCACATGGTGAGCAGGATGTAGGAGAACATGAAGGAGATGCTGGCCGCTGTGCCTCACGACAGGATGATGCCCACGAGGGTGGTGTCCGTGATGCCCACGTGATGAGCCTCAAAGGCGTAGTCTGCGGAGGGCCCAGTCGGGTGAGCTCAGCGCAGGCGCTGGCCGGCGGCTACCATTGCAGGCAACAAGGCTCCCACGGTCTCCATTCAAGCAGGCCCCTCGCGCACCCGGAGGCCCCGCCCCCAGGGCTGTCCGTCACTCACAATAGGCCCCACCCCCAGGGCTGTGGCTAATTGTTAAGACCTGTCCCACCACGGCCGTCACGCACAGTAGGTCCTCTCCAGGAAGAGAACCCCGGCGATGGGGTAGAACACGGCCAGGCAGCCAATGTGGCGCTGGTAGTTCTCGACGAAGCGCTTGAACTGCTGCACCGTCTGGTGGCCACGGTTGCGTTGAAACTTCTCTCGGTGAGCCTCGGTGAACAGCAGGGGCTGGAACGACATTACCCTGGGAGACAGGAAGTCTCGGCCAAGGACCCGATGCTAATGTGGACCCGCTCTCTAGAAGGGGGAAAGGTGCATCTAGTTACTCAAGCCAAGTAGGGTTCAGACCCCAAAGGCTCCTCAATACCACACTCCTCAAGTGGGCTGTCAGTGCGGGGACGGCCTCGCAGGTGGTCACTCGGTCACCTTTCCCCTTCCGGTCTGTAGCTCTCAACTCCCACCAGCTCCATTCTCACCCTTTACTGGAGCCTCAAAGGACACTTCCTCCAGGAAGCCTTCCCTACCTCCCAGGCAGAGGTGAGCACTTCCTTAAGCTCTGAAGGCCCCTGCTCTTACCACTATTATAACATTAATCGGACATTGTAACTATCACCGTACCAGACTCTCTTATCAGACATTCCTGGGCGGGGACTATTCATCCTGCCTGCACCCGCAGTGCCAGCACAGTGCCTGACACCAAGTAATCAATGTATGCATGCTGAAGGGATGGATGAACTGCCTGGGCTTAAGGGGAGGAGCAGGCATACTTCTTGTCAAACCTCCGTTGAATTTCCTGGGGAGGGTCTGTGTCCATGAGGCACTGCATTCTCCATGTTGTCAGCCCCACCTTGACATCGGCGTCCCTTCGGGGACAGTGAGCACTCACTCTGGGAGAGGGACTAGGACAGGAATGCAGGAGATAGGATAGGACCTTGGCCACCTGAGCCACTTGGTCCTCTGCTGCCCCATGTCTGCCTCCAGACCTACTCTGTTAAGGAGGGGTCAGAGCTCTCACCCAGGGAACAACAGGATTCCCACAGAGACCTAGCAAGAGAATGAGTCAGATCCTGGGGCCCCCACCAAGGTGTCAGTACAGTTGTGCCCTTCAAAAGGGCATCTGATTCAGGCAGCAGGTGAGTGCGGAAATCCAGCAGGCTGTCTGCTCTCCCCCTCCCACAGGGCTTTCTCTGCCTTTTTCTAATTTGCATGAAGGTGCTATTTGGGCTAATGAGGGCCCTGATCCCAGTCATTCTGCGTAAACAAAAAGCACCTCCCTGACCCCAGCTCTCCCTCCAACATTCCCAGATGAGGGTTCACCAGAGCTTCCCCTGGCTAATGTATGAGGCTCACTGGCAGAGGTCCTTGATGACTTCAGGCACCTCCACCCCTGCAACACAGAGCTGGGCTAGCAAGAAGCTCAGGGCCCAGAGCCCAGGAGGACCTAGCTCAAATGCACAGCACCCACCCCATGTCCAAAACTGTAGAGGATCCCTGGCCAGTACCCTGCCTCTGGGTGTGCCAGCCTCAACCTGTGCCCCCAGCGGGAGCAAGACCCCACCACGGGTGGGTAGGGAGAAGGCTTGAAACAAAGTTAGCCAGGCAGGCTCCCCTGAGTGTGTGTCCACTTTCAGTCCCACATCTGGGACTGGTATCAGGCTTGTGGGGTACGGCTCAGGAACTGTACGCAACCTGCCTGCTAAGACCACTCAGCCACAAAACCCTGCTAAAGACCCTCCAGCTTAAAAACTCCCAGGAGTTCAGTATAGAATCTAGTTAGTACATATATGGGAGATCACTGTAAAATTCCTTCTACTTTTCTGTGTTTGAAAGAGCTCATAATAAAATGTTGGGGGTGGGAGGAACCCTCCCAGGAGCCACCAGTGCTGAGGGGCAGGGCAGGACTGAGCTGCAAATCCAGGACCTCACAGGAGGCCTGGGAGTCTCCAGGTCACTTCCAAGTGCAAAACCAGTCTTGAAGATTACCCCGGCTATAGACCTGGGTAAAAAGCTGAATTTAATGAAATGAATGTTTAAAACAAAGTATAGATGTCTGTCCTCTCAAATGGTTTGGCAAACAGCAAATGTGGCAAAATGGTAACAAATGGCAAATCTAGGTGAAAGGTAAAGGGATGTTCCTTGTACTATTCTTACACCTTTTCTGCAGGTTCAAAATGTTTCAAAGTGAAATATAAGAGGAAACAACAAAGCACAACAATAATTGAAAGCAAAGCAAAATAGTACTCAGTGCTAACTCTCTACTTAATCCTCAACCCCCAAGCCTGGTCCTCCGCTCCACTCCAGGGACTGGATGTCCCCAGGACTCTAGCCTCAGCTCACTTCCAGGCACCTGTCCCTGTTTTGCCCTCGGGCCCAGGTGCCTGCTGCCCTGGCTGCCTTCTTGAGCAAGGCGGAAAGTTGCAGAATCAGAGGAGTGCTGGGCCTGTGCTCTACCAACTCTCCTCCCCGCCGGGCAGGAGGAGCCCTGACCAGACGCACAGCTGTGTCTTGTACAACTCGCCCCTTGCCTCCATCTGGGCTGCTCAGCCCTCCAAATTCTCATAACCCTGGGAGGGGCTGGGTTTGGTCTCAACATGCCCCAGTGAGAACCCCAGGCTGTGAAGACACCTTAACAGCCCAGAGCAGGCCACAGGCAGTCCCTCTGCCTGCTACCTGCCCCCTCCTCACCCTGACTCTAGCCCCTACCCACCTGAGTCAGACACAGGTCAGGCAGGAAGTAGGGGGAGGGAAAAAGAAAAGTGGATCTCCATATACTCAGCAAACATTTACTGAGCACTCCTCCAAAAGATAAAGCGGCCAGAAAAATCAGAGCACCCCACCACCACCAGACACCCCAGCTGAAGTGGGTATGGCTCGGGTAGGGCTGTAATGAGGAGACACTCTTCCCCCTTGACCCGGGGACCAGGCACTGGGACCTTTGACAGCAAAGCAGAATTCCAGTCTCCATCCCCCACCCCATCCATCCTGACCCTGCCCACCCCACCAGCAGGGCTGCACTATGACTTTTCTGGGCCATAGGCACTACTGCCTTCCTGCATTAAAAATTAATAATAATAATTATATATATATATATATATATATATTTTACAATTATGTTGGTATAAAGAAGAATATAATTCAGGCTGGATACATTACATATTTATCATTATTATTATATTGATTCTTTTCTTTTGATTTTAAAAGAAATGTAAACATTTCTCTGGGCTCCTCAAAGTATGTGGGCCCTAGGCATGTGCCTGCTGTGGCTCATGGGTGAGTCAGCCGTGCCCAGCAGGCCGCCCCACCTTTGACGCAGAGCTGGGTGCAGCGGAGCTCGTTGTCGTGGTCCTGCAGCATGAAGTGGAAGTCCTCCCACGTCAGCTCCTGCTTGTCCTGGAAGCCCGACTCCTGGAACATGGACTCCACCACCTCGGCCAGCTGGGCCTTGGACAGGCAATTGCTGGAGATCTCGATGAAGGACCTGGGCAGGGGGAGGGGAGCCATCAGGCCCCGACAAGCGACCTGGGGCCTAGATGCAAGGGCCCGCTGGCCATCCCACCAGGCCTCCAGAGCAGAACCTACATGGAAGGGCCCTGACTGACCCAATCCCAATCCCGCTCCTCGTTACAACGGCCTCTGGCTATGTGGGTGACGAGGAGGCCCCTGCTCTTTACCCTCCTGCTCCCTCCTTCATGTCCCACCTCTTTCCTTCCACAGTCCCTGCTCCGCCCACTCTCCCGGCTGTCCCACAGGACCAACCTCAGCATTCTGATGAACTCGTCCTTGGAAATGAGGCCATTCCCATCAGTCATACATGCGGAACATAAGGCGAGACTTCTCCTCGGGGGAGCCTGGGAGAAGGAGGACCCCATGAGAGCCCCAGCCCACCTGCCTAAACGCCAGGCTGGCCAGGAAGGGCCTCACACTAGAGTGACCCACTGCTGGACGCAGCAAGGGGTCGCTCTGCTTCCTGACCCCTGCCTGGGCACTCCCAGATGTCTGCCATGACTGGAGACCTGGCCCCAGTGCTTCCCCATCTCCCACAGGTCAGCTGCACTCCAGCCCCTTCAGCCCCTTCCATCGTCTGTCTGGACAGTCACTCCCTCCTCCCCCACCTTTCATGAAGACCACCAGGACGTCCAGGAACTCCCGGAAGGGCAGGTAGCCATTGCCATCCTGGTCGGCCAGAGAAAACATGGACTCCACAAACACGTCCTGGGGCTTGAGGCCCAGGGACTCGGCAAACTCGGCCCGGCTCAGCTCACACATCAGGGCCTCCTGCACCTTCTGTGACAAGTCCAGGGGCAGGGTGTCTGTGTCCGCCTGGTCGATGTCCAGCACCTGCACTCGGGCAGCAGCAGAGGGAGGGAGAGAAAAAGACAAGACTTCCTGGACTTGAAGGCCAGTGGAGGCTTTTGGCACCACCTTTTAAGGTGTCTGACCAGCACCCTCTCCCCTAAGCACTACCCCATCGGCTCTGTGGATGGTCCCTGGGGCCCATCTGTTCTACAGAGCCCTGGGCCCTCTGCATTAGCTGATTGGACCAGGGATGCACACTCGACCCAAGCAGAAGATCTGGGATTGGGACTGAGAGGTCCCAGGACTGTCTGGACCTGAGTGCTTTTAAAAAAACAACCGCGCTTTTCCTTCAAGTGCTCAGAGACACAGAGACAGAAGCAAGCGGGGGCACAGAGAAAACAGAGGCAGTCTGAGACAGGAGTGGCCTTATTTGCTGACAGCTTCCCCTTTCCTGGTCCTTTCCCAGCCAGGTCACAGCCCTCCTTTTGGACTTCCTGAGACACCACTATGTCCTCAGAGTCAACTGACCCGTTGTCACTGCTAGCTTGAGCAGGTTTCTCTTACCTCCAAAGGAGTTTTGACTGAGAAAAAGCCTCGGCTGGGTTGATAAGAAGTTGGGCTGGGGCAAGGGGAATGCTCATCACAGGCCATCTCCAGCCCACCCTCCCGGGGGTTGCCCAGCATAAGAACAGTCGGTAAGGGAAGCAGGCCACAGCACCTGTTCTTCCCGCCTGTCAACTGGGGGACCCTAGTCCACGGTTGGTTCTGATTTCATGAGCTAAACCTCATTGCTTCAAGCAAGGTGCTTTAGTGGAAAGAGCCTGGGGCTGGAGGCAAGAGAGCCGCGTTCATGTCCCAGCTCTGCCACCCGCTCACTGCATGACCTCAGGTAAGTCTCTTCAGTTGTCTGGCATTCATTTCCTCACCTGCCCTACTTGTCTCACAGGGTTATTGTGAGAATCAGTGAGAAGTTGTGTAGAAAATGTTTTGAAAGCTGAAAGCACTGAGCAGATAGAAAGTGTTGGCAACTACCCCTACAATACAGTAACACACCCTCAGCTCCTAGCATGGAGAGTTCCCAGAGCCCTGATGGGTCCTGAACTGAGGGGACCCTGCCCAGGCCCTGGCAACGCGTCACCCTGGCGGAGGGGGGCGTCCCTCCATTCTCCTGCATACACAGGTTCAACTTGTTGGCAAAGTGAATGACATGTCATGTGCCTGGCACATAACGAATGACCAGTAAATGGTAGCTTCCCTCATAAATCCTCTCCGCGGCCAGCCAACCCTGCTCCTTCTCCTCAAACCTTAATTTTCTGCCCTTCTACTGGGCACCTCTGCTCAGTCCTTCATGCTCCTTTCTTCTGAGCCAAAATTTTTCCAACTTCTTCTTGAGTGCCTGCCTAATCTTACCTCCACCATGACCTTACATCAGCCTGAAGCCTCGCTGCCTTTTCTGAACTCTTAGACCACTTATTTCCTGGGTCTCTTTTGTAGCTGTCATTCTTCCCAATTATTTTCCTTCCTGTGCTCATCCCATCTTCCCAGTGGGATGACAAACTCCTCCAGTGGGGACCCATGCTGTACTTATCTTACATCTCCCAAGGTTCCCCTCTCCACTATTCTGCTCCCAGGCTGCCTTCATTTTTGTACCAGATAGGGACTCAAGTCCTTGCATTTCTCTTCCTGTCTTGTTTCCCCACATCCTCCCTACAGTCTCAGAAATCTGCAAGGTGGAAACTAATGTTCCACTGAGGCCTCTGCCAGCGGCGCTTCCCCAAGGAGGGGTGACCAAGGGCTCTCTCACTGCCCCCATACTGCTCATCTCACCCTAAGTTTCTGCAGCCATTTGGGCAGGATGAGCTGAGTGAGGGCAGAAAAGTGAGCAGCCATGGGAAGAGAAATAAGGGACCCGTGCAGATAAACCCGTTCCCGGGCATTGCCTCCCTGGAGTCTCACAGATGAGGGTGGGCTTGGGAAGGGGCAGGAGCATCTCCTTACAGAAAGGTAGGTGACTTGGTGCAAATCACAGTAGATTTGATTCTTAGCTGAGAACTCGGGGCTTCTAACTTTCCCTGGAGTCACCCCATGGCCTCACACAGGTAAGGGCACCACCACAGGCAGACACACATGGACAGATCCCATCCCACATACACACCCGGGAGAAAAGGTGCCTGAAAAAGGCCTCTAGGAGATGGCTCCGCTGCTCCCGCGTCATGGCAGCGCTCATCAGCTCCTGCAGCCCCCACTCCTGGAAGCTCAGCCCACTCTCCTTCAGAGGCCCCCGGAGGTTTTCCAGCATCACC